TTCAAAGATACTCTGGGGTGCAACGATCAAGACTTGGTTTGACTCACCAAGGTGGAGATTGTTAGGATTTTGGCTCGTCAAATATGTCCTAGTTGGTTTAGGATTGCTTTAGGAAAATTAGAGGTATTCTTGTCCTAGAGGGATTAGGAAAGAATTTCAGTTTTCCTTATTCAATTCAGGTTTGGATTTCTAGAAGCCTATTTGGTTTTGGATAAGTGTAATTTCCTAATCCACTTAGGAATAGGAATTCAATCAGCCTTGGGACATGTAAGCCAACTCTATATCTATAAATAGGGTGTGGCAAGGCTTATTTTGAGAGAAGAGAAAACAGCAAGAGACAGCCAAGAGTTTTGAGATTAGTTCTAGGGTTTGCAAAAGTTCTGTAATCTCTATTATTAATCAAAGGAGCGGTGATTTCTCTACCTAGAGAAATCACAACTGGACGTAGGCAAAAGTTCTGCCGAACCAGTATAATTCTTGTGTGTCTAAGTTTTCTAATATTTGCTAGTTTAGTCTATTGCCGTTGGTTACATTAAAGAACAAGATCCAGCAGCAAGTTATTTAACACACAATGCCTCCAAAGAAGAGGACCATAAGCAATAAACCAGAGAAAATAAAGAGATAAGAACATTCTCTCTTTCTTTCTTTGTTTTTTCCTTTTGTTGACTATCTACTTTGCAAAACAAATATAATATAGATTACTCACATGCTCAATTTGTTTGTGCGTTAGATCTCTATTCTCAAGCAAAACAAGATCTTGCAAGAAGGCCCTAGAAGCTTTGGCAAATGCATTATTCGTGCCATTGAGCAAACTACACATGAAAACCCCAAAATACTTGGGGGCTTCGTGCCAAGCAAATTTTTTCAAACAAAAAGAGAAAAGGCCAGACACAGGCCAAGCATCTGATAAAGAGAAGCCATCTTTTCTGACCAACAAAGGAGACTTGGCTAACTCTAGAACAATATAGCCATATCTTGCACAAGTCCTCTCCGAAACACTGCTTGCGTTGCCTCCATCTTTGGCACTGCCCACAGAATACCTCGACTCTCTATGCCAATGTCAGTTCCACAACCTACATGCCATCTGTTGGAGGCCAACAAAAAAGATAAGAAGATCCATTTTTTCTTAGCTTTTTAGATTTCACAATAAAATATATATTATCATGCCATATGTCATTACATTTATACTTGCAAAAACACTATTCAAATGTAAACATGAACTGATAAATTTCCTTCCTAACATATATATATATATATATATAATGTTTTAGGCCAATACCAACTTAGTGAAGTTGGACTATTCAGCTTCCTTTATTTCTTGTCTTTTACTTTGATAGGAATACAAACGATAGGCATTTACACACCACCAAAAGCACAAGCACCACCACATGCTTTAATTATTGCCAAAGCATCTCATGCTTGCATGTTAGCAAGATTATCAGGACATAGCTGCCGTAACCTCTCATAACCTCACAGAAGTTGAAGAAAGTGGGATGGGTTATGAGCCAAAAATCACTCTATGATTAGTTGGGTTATTAGCCGCAGGAAAATAAAGCAGCAGATGTTGCTCTGTTAAATATCTCTGCAAAGCATGGCATCCTAGTGCAACACACGCCAAATACATGCCAACCTAAGCCACAAGCTTTCATGCTATTGCAAGTCATGCACATTCCTTGTCTCTTTCATACTTGGGGGCTTAATTTGATTGGAGTATTCATCAATGCAAAATGGCTCAAAGCCTTACTACTGCTGAGTTGCTTTTGCACCTAACCTTTTGCTTTTGGCTTTTTCAAATTTATTTCAAAAATGAACTCCTTATCTGTTTTCACCGTATGCTTTCACAACTTTTGTAGAATACACCACCATTATGGCATGCCAAGGTGTAAGATGATATTTGCAATGAGAATGGAGTATTTTGGAAAAATAAAAAAAGCCTCAGGAAGAATAGACAATAGTGAATTAGACTCAGGGGTGATTGAAGGACTGACTAACTCACAAGAATTAAACCAGCCACTTGGGCGGAATGAGTTAACTGACTCAAGAACTGACTCCTGCAACGCTTACGGCTCTGATACCAGGAGGGATATATATATATATATATATATGTATGCACACCTCACACCATCATCATGTACCAGGGGAAAACAATCCAATTCGGGGATCATTTGACTAGACCACATGGAGGAATCCTCAACAACCATGTGGCCAGGGACGAGCCGTCCAACTGGGGACTTGGCTCCCAGCACGCACAGCAGAATCCTCAATACTCGTGCGCCTGTGACAAGTTCTATGCGCGCATACTACCTCGCTAAGGGTCTACGAAACACCCCGCCAAAGGTGCCGGGTTCCAATCATATCCAAACCATAACCACAGTTTCCATGTACCCCTAACCCAAATGCATAGACATATATCTGAGTGTAAACATATAATCGACATTTAATTAGGCCCATAATGACACCAAACCCCTCTATCAAGCCATAAGTGAATTACAAAAACAATCATTAAAATAAAACGATGATAATAATAATAATAATAATAATAATAATAAACGGAAAGTCTTGTGTCACATGGTAAAGGCCAAAACCGAACCGATAGCCCGCTGTTATAACCTCATTAACCAAAATACCCATTACCAAACAACTCAATTTACTACCAATATCACTACTACACCCAATATCACAACATCAAAACAAATCCAAGCTTTCAACAATACACCATAACCACGGTAAAGGCCAAAACCGAACCGATAGCCCGCTGTTATAACCTCATTAACCAAAATACCCATTACCAAACAACTCAATTTACTACCAATATCACTACTACACCCAATATCACAACATCAAAACAAATCCAAGCTTTCAACAATACACCATAACCACCGTTCAAATCCCACGTATTTATCATTGACAAACAACTCCAGTAATACTATTCGATATTGTAAGGCCACAATTAAAACATACACCCAAACCCATAATTCCTAGAAACTTAATGTGTACACACAATCTTGGAAAGGTCCTAAAGTCATTCTAGTACCTTCACAAAGGATGAGACGATCTCAAAAGACCCGTGATCAACAGTTGGTCAAACTTCTCATTTTTGGTCAATTGGGACAACGGGGCCCACAACCTCCGATTTCTGATTTGAAAGTTCCTACGGGTTCAACAGAGTTTACTAAATAAGTCCTGCAATTTTGGTCCAGATTGAGCGGTCGGATCGCTTGCGATCAGACGATCACCGCTTTACGTAAACTTGAATCTTTGAATCGGATTATCGGAGCATTCGAGACTCTGATTCTCGATCCGCGAATTCCTATACGATCCTAGAGGTACACAGATCAACCTATTTGGAAATGGAGTCGATCCAATGGTCTGAACATATCGAACCCGGATAACGCCTAATATGCATAAATCCGATCTAACTCCAAACGATAACCAAATTCAAATCCGAGCATACCGTCGTGCTCGGGATGACATGGGGATCATTTTAGGACCAAAATGGACAACCCAAATGTGGCCCATGCGCCGCCACAAGCGCCGGCAATTTGTGGGTGGCTTGAGAAAATTCCGGCGACCGGAAAATTCTCAAATCACCCAACAATACCTATACCTACGTGATTAGGACAACGAGTGGAGCAACTTTTATTCTTGAACCACGGCCAAAAAGGGGCCGGAACTTGTTGGAAATTCAAGCCAAAACCAGCCAAAACTTTGAGTTGTAAAACAAGTTTCAAAACTTCAAAATTGATCCTAACCAACCTAACCATCAGCTAGATCATGTCGAAAGGATAAGAAAGCATACCTGGATCGACAAATTTTGGAGGTCGAAATCGTCGGAATCGACGACAAAAATTTCGAGTGGAAACCGACCAAATTTCGAGCTTTTTCGGTAGCTGGAGCGGTGAGCTTCATATGAGGTGGTGCAGGTCGGGTAGAGGAAGGTGGCTCGGTCGTTTTGGAACCGGCCCCGATGCAAGTTGTTGCCGGCCAAAACGTGGCCGGTTGTAGCGAAGGGGAGGGTTTGGTCGTGAGAGGGAGGGAGGGAGGGAGGGAGAGAGAGATCTGAGTATTAAAAAAAGACTTCGAAATATTTACGGTTGTGCCACTGCACTTCCGTAGATCGTAACTTCTTCATTACAACTACCCCACTACGTCTCTACGAACTCGTATCGACGCGCTCTATGCAATAGTGCCATTCAATTCCCCAAAATCCTACCGGATTAAAAAGTGATCAAAATAACCCTATCCCCGAGGGCAAAATTGTAATTTCATAATTAAAATTGGGTCGGAATGTCATAGGTATTGCCCCCGTATATCCTGTCTTTTAAAGTTTGTGTTGGAATAAATTTATAGGGATAGTATGAAGTTTTTGTATTGCCATTGTATAACCCTTTATTGCTTATGTATTGCTATTGTATTGCTTTTGAATATCCTTTTTTTCATGTGTTGGAATAAATTTATAGGGGAGTATGGAGTTTGTGTATTGCCATTTTATAACCCTTTATTGCTTTTGTATTGTTACTGTATTGCCCCGTATATCCTTTTTTTCTTGGAATAAATTTATAGGGTGAGTATGGAGTTTGTGTATTGCCATTGTATAGCCCTTTATTGCTTGTGTATTGCTACTGTATTGCCCTTGCATATCTTTTTTTTTTTTTTTTTTTTCTAGTATGTTGGAATAAATTTATAGGGGGAGTATGGAGTTTGCGTATTGCTATTGTATAGCCCGTTTTTGCGTTCCTATTACCATTGTATAGCTCCCATTGTATAGCTCCCGTATTCCCGTTTATTTTCAATTCTTGAATGAAATTATAGTGGGAATGTGGAGTTTTTTTATTGCCATTGTAGTGCCTTGCCTTGTTATTGCCTTTTCCTCTGTATTTAAGGTTTTTCTTAACAAATCTAAAGTCGCAAGCATCAGTATTTCAATGAAAAACGAAGCAAAAAATTAGGATCTGAATGCTTGGCATAACACAATGTCTCTCTTCAATTTATTTATACAGAAAGTCATACAACAAGTTCAGAGAGAAACATTGTCGCTTAGAAACAAGGAAAAGTTGAACGAGTACTTGATAGTTTACAGGATACCGTACCAATTTCATCAACTTCGACATATTAAATGACTAGTTCCACATTAAATAGGCAAAGACTAAGCCGCAGCCACAGCTTCTGCAGGCTTTGCTTTGGGCTCTGCAGGTGCTTCTGAAAAGTTTGACGAAAGTAAATTAACCAAGTCAAAAAAGTTTTCCTATAGCTTGAGAGGATTTGATACTTGCGTTGTCCAAAAGAAAGTAGACATCCAAAACGATCAGCCCCACGAAGACGTGTGAGGATTTGTTACTCCATATTCAAAAGAGAGAGACATTCAAGAAACTAGCCCTTATTACCTGCATGAAAATGTAAATATACATCGACAGAATGAGCTAAATAACCAAAAGAGGACTCGAAATGAATTCTTAAGTTGTTCTTGCATATCCCTTTTGCCTCTGAAGTCTTCATGACATTCATGACATTTCTATAAATCAAACAGATCATTGAAATAAAACCAAGGGCAACCCAACATTTTTCTGATCTAGCTAAATTAGAAGCCGAGTATTATTTATAAATAAAAAAAACAAACAAAAGGTATTTTCTACAAAGAACATGACAGAAACAATATGCACCACAAGAAAAACATGACACAAAAGCAGAAAAAGAAGCATACATGTGCTGTTGATTCACCATAGGCCTACAAATTTCTAACATGCCCTACAATCTAAATATTATAGACTCCAGGAATCCAATACAACAAAATAAAGCTTTTGATTCACCACAGGAAATTTGTGGCAAGGCAAAGTAAATCACAAGCTATCGAATCGGACAAACTGTAAAACGAATCTTCAAAGTTGCTGCCTACTTGTATGGGCAAGGGTCACTACTACAAAACTGCTCTAAAGACACATTTTATAGAGCACAAAAGAAGGATCATGTCTTTTTCAACTTCATTTAGCACAAAAATGTCTTAAACATGTCTTTTACACAAAAAACACTGTAGGTTTGTGTCTAAGACGAGTACAAAAAGAATCCATTTGTGTCCATTGAAATTTGGACACAAGATTTGTGCCCAATATACATGTCAATATCACCTTCTCTGTTGCATACAAAAGTTTCAATTTACCCAACTTATCCTTCTCAGGCAGCACGTCGAAACAAAAGAAACTCAAGACATGACACAAAAGCAGAAAAATAAGAAAATAAATATAATAGAATTCCAAATATCAAATGACAGAACCAAGTATCCATTCACTAGAAACTTAGACATAATATGGCACTTGTGTAAGTCTTCATGGAAAAACAGGGGCATTTCTCAAGCATTGTTAAAAGGTAATCAAACTAATGTCAACGGTGATCTAACAAAACCATTATGCACTATAAAGACATCTTCGTAAACAAATTATAATAAAACTCACATGTTCTTCCTTCCATTTAGATGGGTTCATTGGGTCCTCCCAGAAGTTCACCTTTAAGTATATACCATGAGAATTGGCCCAATTTGTTTGTATCTCAAAGAAAACCATAGTGCGCTCGTTAAGGTGATTCATCGAACACCTGCAGGCCATTTCTTTCATGCACTCATCAACTCAGCCTAACCAAACAAATAGAACCATATATTCAGAACAAGCAAATAAGCATGATAAATAAAACAATGTACCAAGAATTTGGATTTTGAGCAACTTTCTAGACCAATATTCTCCATCATTAACTATCAATTTTGATCCGGGCATGGATTAGGAAACCTTTCTTGTTGATTTATGTATTTACTTCAGGTATGAGCTCGACCTTGCATCCTTCTAGAACCTCCTGCAGTTGCCATGACTTCGTTGCTCCAGATCAGGGGCATGGATTAGGAAACCTTTCTTGTTGATTTATGTATTTACTTCAGGTATGAGCTCGACTTTGCATCCTTCTAGAACCTCCTGCAGTTGCCATGACTTCGTTGCTCCGAACACAACACTCGCAACAAGGGGTGGCTCAAAAGAAAAGCTGCAAATTTTTTAGAGAAACAGGAATAAAACAAACAGGATTGAAATACCCATTTATTTACTTTACAACTAACCAAAATCATCAAAATGACATCAATCTTAAAACCATTTCAAATGACCCAAAATAAAATTACCCCAGTATGGAATGCATCCTTTGCTTGGTTTTGGAGGTTGGCGAAGGTGGACTTGAGTTGGGTTTTGAGGGAAGGAGGTGGTGGAGGGCACCAGAGCAATGGTTTTGGAGGTTGGTGGTGTTGGCGGTGGCTAATGGTGTGAATGAGGAAGATGGGTCTTTGGATCCAGAAAAAGAAAAATATGGAGAATTGGGAATTAGGGCTGGGTATAAGTGAGAGAGAGGAGATGCAAAATTGGGGTTTCATCTCAGATAGAGCATAGCAGAGAAGAAGAAGAAATTTGGGGTTTCATCTGAGAGAGAGCAGAACAGAGAGGAAGAAGAAGAAAGCAAATTTTTTAGGAGAGTAGAGGCCAATTTCAAACGGCAAATATAAAAGTGACAAAAAGGTTATACGGGCAATATGGAGTTTTTATAGGAGACATTTTTTATGGAGTTTTGAAATAATTCCCATTTTTTATGGGACAATAAAAAACATGGGATGGGAGCGGGGACAAGACAAAGCCGCCTATTTAAATAATTCCCATTTTCTTCTGAAACCCAAAACCTAAATCTGACGGTCTGACCCCAAATAATTCCGATTTTGGTAGGAAATCCAATCCCCAAAATCTGACCCCAAATAATTCCGATTTTGGCAGGAAATCCAATCCCCAAAATCTGACCCCAAATAATTCCGATTTTGGCAGGAAATCCAATCCCCAAAATCTGACCCCAAATAATTCCGATTTTGGCAGGAAATCCAATCCCCAAAATCTGACCCCAAATAATTCCGATTTTGGCAGGAAATCCAATCCCCAAAATCTGACCCCAAATAATTCCGATTTTGGCAGGAAATCCAATCCCCAAAATCTGACCCCAAATAATTCCGATTTTGGCAGGAAATCCAATCCCCAAAATCTGACCCCAAATAATTCCGATTTTGGCAGGAAATCCAATCCCCAAAATCTGACCCCAAATAATTCCGATTTTGGCAGGAAATCCAATCCCCAAAATCTGACCCCAAATAATTCCGATTTTGGCAGGAAATCCAATCCCCAAAATCTGACCCCAAATAATTCCGATTTTGGCAGGAAATCCAATCCCCAAAATCTGACCCCAAATAATTCCGATTTTGGTCAGGAATCCAATCCCTAAATCTGATTCTTCACCTTACCTCTTGAAAAATAAAGTAAAAATCTAATCTTTTAAGCCATCGTCGTCGCTACCACTCCATCAGTACCATAGCCGGGAACTCCCAGACGAATTTCATGAAGAAAAGAGTTCCCCCAACTTTTCCATCTCTCCAATTCAAGGTACGTCACTCGTGTTTACAGTTAAAAGTTCCGAAGTTTGCATCTTTTTCTCGTTCCTTTTCATATATCACAGGAATAAAACTTCTACTATTTTTCTTTTCTATTTATTTCCCGCATATCCAATTGGTTTGGAAGTTGTATCTGTTTTCCCAGTTGTCAAACTTTTATAAAATTGTTTATTTTTATAAAATATTCCCAGATATGATTTACCTGGTTTTGAAAGCTGCATCTCTTCTATTTCCCACATATTAACTCGTACAAATTTGCACACTTTTTTCGTTGAGTGATATAATAAAGTGTCTTATGATTTGGTTTCCTTATTGTTGTCATCGTTTTCGGTTATGTTTTTGGTTAATGAATATGATAACTTAATGAAATCATGAAATTGAAGAGAGAAGAGTACCCTGTAACGAATATGATAACACTGCCAGTTCTCACTCCTTTCGTGTTCTGTTTTTTGGGCCAATTCATATATTAGAAGTACGCGCTCTACATGGGAATGAAACACAGGCAAAGAAAAAAGAAAACCTTGGGAAAGAAAAGGAAACATAAGGACGAGTACAACTTGGTGGACCGACTCACTGAGTCGCCAGATGACGTTCTTGTTAGTATATTGTCTCTCTTGTCCCTAAAGGAAGCAGCTACTACTAGTATCCTTTCCAGGCGATGGCGATATGTGTGGGCATCTACTATGGCTCTCGACTTTGATGCTAAATTTTTTGATGATGAAGTTTATAAAAAGTTCCGTCAACTCCAACCAGCACTAAGAGAACAGGAAAGCCTCAGATACGTCAATTGGGTAAATCATGTAGTGGAACAGCATAGAGGCCCATCCATCGAACGATTCAGGGTTTCCTTTGATATAGATAGTCGTTTTACAAGTTCCATTGACAAATGGATTCAATTTGCAATGAATAAGAGAGTTCAAATACTTGAGTTAGAATTACATCTATGTGATTTCTCCACTCGTAGCGGTGCTTATTCATTCCCCCACACACTATTAGGTTTTGGGAAAGAGTCTGCCTATCCAAGTCTGCACTCTTGCCAATACAATATTGGATTTGAGTTCCTCAAAGTTCTTCATCTCCAATTTGTTGATGTGACTGGAGAAGTTCTTGAGCACTTCTTGTATAACTGTCCAGTTCTTGAACGTTTGACAGTGTCTTGCGCTACCAAAAGTTTGGTTAAGTTAGGAGTTGTCGGTCCCTCAATTGCATTAAAGTATTTAACTATAAAATGGTGTAAACTTGAAAGCATTGAGATTCGTGACGTAAAACTTGTTTCATTTATTTATGAGGGAAAAGCAACCAACCTTCTCCTCAATAATGTACCATTCCTTGTTGAGGTGTCCGTTTCTGAGAGGCTTGTTCGTATTTTTTCGGATGAGGTACACGTTTACCGCAATGGTCCTTGTAGTTCATGTAGTGTAGTGTTGAATTTGCATGTTTTCTTGGTGCAGTTGAATTTTACAACACTTGCAGGAATGGGACCAATAAAGAGCGCAGGCGAATGCCCCCATCATTACCTGAAGGTATTAGAAATTGTAGGGTATCGTGCTCATACATGTGTTGTTCAACATGTCATGCACCTAATAAAGAGTGCTGTTGCACTGGAGAAAATTATTGTCCATCCTGTCCAGCGTTTGAATGAATCTTATGTAAGAGTTAGGGAAGTTGAAAAGGTCGAAGAAGCGAAAGCAAGAGACCATGCTATGCAATGCCTTCGAGAAAAAGTGCCTGCAACTATTGAATTTGTATGCCTGTAGAATGTAGTGCTTAAATTACCTAGAGATTTTGTTGGCATTTAATGTTGTGATCGAACAAACTCAAATTGAGACATAACTGTGCTCTTTCTTATTATTATTTTTGTTCAACCATAAGTTAATTTTCTATGTTGTCTAAAATTTTGTAGCAAACAAGCAATATATATCTTTTTGTGTGCCTTTTTTCTCAAGTTCAAATTTAATGGTTCAATAAATAATTTGAAGGCTTATTTTGGTTTTATTTATTCTAATAGCACAAATTGCTTTAATTTTCATGATGCCAATCCTAGTTTGGTATATTTGCATAAGATTCATTTTTAGGTATAATATTTTTTAAATATATTCGCCATTGGTCTAGGTTTAGTCAAAGAGTTTGGTTATTATATTTTTGTTTTCTTAAGTTCTATAGTAATCTATACTATTGTTTAAGAGAATACTCTTTATCCATCACTTTTGACCCAAAAAAAAAAGTGTAACAAAAATATTTAAAAGACTTTGAAAAAAAAAATTATAAAAGCCCGGTCGATTAGGCCCATGGTGGCACGCCCTAGCTCGATGGTCGAGCCCGAACCAAGCCCTTTGAAACCTCAGCTCGGCCCAAAATTTTTATTAAAAACAACAACAAAAATAGGGTTAATTACAATTTAGTACCCTGTACTTACACCCTTAAGGCATGTTAGTCCCTGTCTTTTCAATTTTAACAATCGCATACCCTTAGTTTGTAAATTTTTTGCAATGTGGTTCCGCCGTTAGGGTTTCTGTTAGATCTCTCTGTTAAC